CAATAGAGGTGATTTGAGGAACATGTACAACATTGCAAACTCCACTGTTTCTTGTTTCGTATTTGTTTGTCTCATTAATCCTTTTGTCAATAATTTCTTATAAATCTCAGCAAGATTATGGGATCCTACTATTTAATGTCCGGGAATTTTCAGGGAGCTTCCAAATTAGTCTGGGAGGTTTCATCAGACAACCGGAAGTGAAATAATGCAGTGAAGTCAGTAAATAAAACATGTCTTTCTCAGTTAGGTTCAATCGTGAGAATATCTACTGTTAATAGCTAACCAATTGGAGATTTTACGTGCGCTATCCGACATTATGCATATTTCGCACATGGGCCAAGGAGGGTATGTCTAAAAAGTTGAGGCAATCTGGGGGGCGGAAGGTAGTGTGGGCGGTTAGGTTTAAAATTTCAGAAATTTGGTGCATCGTAAAGCGGATTTAGGAGTGTTTGTAGTGTTAGTTGATTGTTAATACCTAATTTGGTTTGGAGCATTGTTCTGTGTTGTTTGTAGTGGGTGCAGTGTAGTGGTACATGTTCTGGTGTTTCTTATTGGTTGCAGTGGGTGCATTTACCTGTTTTATGTAACTTTATGTTGTGTAGGCAGTTGTTTAGTTTTGTGTGACTTGTCTGTAGTTTGATTATTGCCCTGTCATATTTTTTTTATTCATTATGGGTTTTAGTATTTTGAGTGGCTTTTGAAGCATAGCTTTAGTTGACAGTTTGAATTTTGGAAATTTGTTTGCCACTTTTGGAAAAAAAAATCCTTAGCGATGCTCTTTATCTCATTTTTTGATATTGGTAAGTTTAGGCTTATTTCTGATAGTTTTAGGGCCGCTTTGGCTGCTTGGTCAGCATGTTCCTTTCCAAACTCTCCGACGTGGGCAGGGATCCATAGGAATTCTATTTGTTTGCCAAGTTTACCGATTTGTTTTGAGCTTTTAAGCATTTGGTGTATCAGTTTTGGTTGTCTTTTTCTGTTTTTGTTTTTAATAGCTTGTAGTCCATTTAGTGAATAAAAATTAGGATGTTTTTATGTTTTTTTATTTGAGGGTTGTATAGGGCTGTAGCCATGCCTATTATCTTGGCCGTGAAGACTGACCGGTTATTTGGGAGCCTATAGGAATTTGATTCTTTCATTGGTTGGGATATATGGATGCCGAAACCTGTGCATTTTGAGCCCAGGTCAGAGGACCCATTGTTAACGGCAAACATAGAGATTTTGTATTAAAATGTGTGTCCTACTGATAATACGAAATGAGTGTCAGAATTCTTGTATTTCCTGAACGAGAGTGTGCGTAATACATGAAAAATCTTACACAAGTTTTGTAAAATTAGTTTGACACACATGGGAGTGTTATCATTTCTTTATTACCAATCATCAATTATCAATTCTTAATCCTTTCGAATTCCCTTTAGAAGAATGCACTGATCATGACCACTGTCCTAGAAGACCACAATTGTTGAATGATGTCCATAATATGGTCACAACCATTGTCTGAATAAACATTTAATTCCAAAGTCTAATTACCCTGGGCCATGACATGTATATGCCTTGGAATAAATTAATTGACGTTATTTATAAGATGCTAATCCCAATTGCTAATCCCTATTGTATTGTATATTGACTGTCTGCCCTTGGTGTTTCTAAATATGTTCTTGGTGTTACTTAATACGTCCTTGGTGTTACTTGATATGTCCTTAGGAGTACTTAATGCCCTTGGTGTTACTTAATACATCCTTGCTGTTGCTTAATATGTTCTTGGTGTTACTTAATATGTTCTTGGTGTTACTTAATATGTCCTTAGGGTTACTAAGTCCCTTGGTGTTACTTAATACATCCTTGGTGTTACTTGATATGTTCTTGGTGTTACTTAATATGTCCTTGGTTTGAATTGTTCGTTAGGCATTTCTTAGAAGTTGATGGATGATAAAGTAGACACAATTTATGGATAACAAGTTCTTCATTTTACTGTAATGGCATCTTTTCGTTATAGATCCTTATACCGTCGTCAATCAAAGCTAAATAATGAAACATGGTACAGAATATATATGGTAGGTACAGGGTTAACAGTGACAACAATTGCATACATGAGAGATTAACATGAATAGGTTAAATACAAATAACCAAAGGAGATTCCTATAACAACATGATGGACAGTTTTCTTTTAGTGAAGTCATGGAGGTTGTTGGAGAGGATCTGGTCATTATTCCAGTTGATGTTGTGATTAGAGCAGTTGCTGATATGGTCCAAGATGGCTGAGTTACTGTCTGATCTGATGGTTGAAGCTTTGTGCTCTTTGATTTTGTTGTGGATGGGGCAGGATGTTTCACCTATATAGGACTGGCCACACTTTTGGCCAATTTTATGATCTACACCTTTAGGTTCTTAGAGTTTGGTTGTGTTTCTGCCTTTGTCTCTATTGAGGGAGGTGGATCTGGTGAAGTAGGTGTAAATATTGGCTTGCTGATTGAGGAGGTGGCTGATGATGTGGGAAGCTTTTACTATAAATGGGAGGGTGATGTGGAAGGGTGCTGATTCATGTTTGAGGGTCGTAGATCTGGGTGTGGGATGGAGTATAGAGATGACTTTGTCGACAAGTATGGGTGGATAAATCTGAGTCAGCAGATGATGTCAGTCTTATTTCTGACGTGATGGTTGGAGTTGAAGTGGATGTACTGATCGGTGTGGGTGGCCTTTCGGTAGACACTGGTTTGGATTCTGTTGGCTGTGGTTCTGGAGACAAGGACATCTAGGAAAAGTAGTTGGTTATTCCTTTCTGTTTCAATGATAAACAGTACACGGGGATGTTGTTGGTTTATATTTTGTAGTAGTAAGGTTTGGTCTTGTCTTGTTTAAGGATGACAAAGGTATCATCAACTTTTCTGTACCAGCAAATGGGTTGGATGGGTGATGTGGTGAGGGCTTGCTGTTTGAAGGTTATGTAGATTTCAGTTAGGATAGGAGAGAGTAGGGACCCCATGGGTAGGCCGTGTATCTGTTGGTAGTATTTGTTCCACTCTGGTTTTCAGAGGCGTTTCAGTGATGCAGCGGCGGAGAATTTACAGAGTGTCATCTATGGGTATGTTGGTGAATAGGTCAACTACATCATAACTGATGATTTCATCTGGTTTGGTGATGTTCTTGAGTTTGGAGCAGAGTGAGTGAGTGAGTTGGGTTTAACGCAGCTTTTAACAGTATTCCAGTTACATCATGGCGTGTCAGCTTAATGTGGGAGGAAAGCCCAAAGTGATGCAGGTCTCAGACGTTTACCAGTTCGGTGAAACCCACAAGCACGGGTATGGTGCTGACAAACCTAGAAACATAATCAAGGCAAATCGGGATTCGAACCCACAATCATAGGTTTCTGGCGGGCCAGGCGGATGCAACACTGCACAGCGAATTGCGGCGCCTTAGACGACTGGGCCACCCGTGCCCCTGTTTGGAGCAGAAGTCAGTGGAGTGTGAGATAAAGGAGTCAGCTGATTTTCCTAAGGTAGCAAGAATTCTGGTGAGGTGTTGGGCAAAGTTATAAAAGACAGTATCTCAGGAGCACACAAGTAGACAGGCTTTAGGAGTGTTCCCTTGGATTTTGGCTCTGGCAGAGGGTGGTTGGGGGTGGTTGCTGGAGAGTTTGTTGTGAAGTACTTGGCTAATTTCAAAGTTGTTTGAGGAAGGCTTTATGTTGGTGTAGAAGTTTGGCAGTTGGGTCCTTCATCAACTTGGAGAAGGTGGTGGGGTCTTGGAGAATGTTGTTGATTAGATCTTGGAAGTGGACGGTGTTCATGATGACTGTGGCCTTGACCTTGTCAGCAGGAGCTTTCTTGATGGTCTTATCTCAGTTCTTTTGATGGCTTGCTCTCAGCTCGGGTGAGGTTTTTGGTTAGGCTTTTAGCAAAAATGTCACAGATCAGGTGACACAGGTAATCGATCATACCCCCTGGTGCGAGTTGCTGAAGACCTTTCTCGATACTAGTGATGAAGACATCATGGTTTTCATAGTGGACTGGTAGGGATGTACTTCAGGCCTTTGCTGTTTGTCTGATCTGTGGTGAGTTTTATGTTGCTGAGTTTTTTGTTCAAACCAGAATCAGCACCCTTCCACTTCACCCTCCCATTTATAGGAAAAGCTTCCCACATCATCTGCCAATATTGACACCTACTCCACCTCCCTCAATACCCTACATAGAGCCAACAGCAGAACTACAACCAAACCCAAAGGACCTAAAGGTGTAGTTTAAAAAATTGACTGTAACTGTGAACAATCCTATGTAGGTGAAAATCCCTACAAGCCATTAATCTACAGAGATCAAGGCTATTTCATCCTATCCACCTACTTTGAACTCATAAAGCAATACTCACCCCACCTATGTATACTTAATCCTGTTTAACGTCTTTGATGGGCATTTAGAATTTGGAGTACTAATTAAGGATAAGATATATGGATGAACAGCTTCTCTATTACAATTAGGAGCAACATTTCAGGGTAGGTTCTAAAACTGTGCAATTGTGAACAGGCTTAACTAGGCATCCTGATCATGTGTTCTCTTTCCTTCATTTTGGTACAGTATTATTCTTCTGTTGTTACTTTTTAACCCACTCATGTTAATCCCTCTCATGTATGCAATTGTTATTACTGTTAACCCTTCAACAACCATATATATTCTGTACCATGTAATATTATTCAGCCTTGTTTGACAATGGTATAAGGATCTAACACTCTAACATAGGGTTAGATGTAGCTAAATGTCTTTGGTGTTACCACAATATTACCTTTCAATGTTAATGGGTATGTTAATGTAGTGGGTAAAACATGTCATGTGCCATTGTAATTATAACACTTAACTCATAGTAACACCAATTCATATAGTTAATAAACCCTGAAAGGTTGGCATTTACATTATTCATGTTTCATATAACTGTTTTTCATGTCATGAATGTAGAGGTGAGACCCTAATAAACAAATTCTCTCTCTTTTCCACATCCCCCTGCATGGACAGCTGGAGAGCAGATGGCAGAGCAAACAGCATGGTGGTAACATGCAGCAAGAAGCAGCTGGAGAGGAGGAAGCACTGGCAGCAGGAAACACATCTACATTTGATGCCAGTAATGCTGATGCAGTTCAGAAGATAGTTCAGAAGCATGAGAAGGGACTACTGGCCAATCTAAGTGGCCAGAAAGTCATTGCCAGGGATAAACATGATGGAATGTACTATGAAGGTAAACATTTTAATTAATCACAAATAACTTCATGACAATGGCATGAGTAATAAGGAAAACAGATATGCTTGATGAAAAAAACAATAACTATCACCCTTTGTTACAATCTTTTGGCAGGAGTGTATATTATGTTTATATATTATATAAATAGGAGCTCCAATTCAAAATCACATTTATGTCACAGGTGAAATAACTGAAACTTGCTTACACAGAGAACATAAACTTGATTGTGTTACTAAATTCTTTCACAATGCAGAAATGTATTTTCATATGCTAATTCGACCTTATTATTTGGGCCTAATCTGCACTTCATTGTCCCATGTGTTCCACACCTTAAAACAAGTTCTCTCCTTTCCATTGACTAAAACAATGGGCGGTGCATGTGTTTGCAAGTAAAGTCTTGTGCTTGGGTAGGGTTGTTTAAAAAATAGACAACAGCATAAAATATATTTTCCAGGTTATATTTCATTCCCATTGTTTTATTCAATCCATACATGATATGTTACAATGAATATACACTATTCAGAGGTGAAAATAGATTGGATCTTGTTGTGAAGCAGAAAATCTTCTCCTGTTTCCTTGAAATAGTCAGGGATGACATGGCCATGTCGATGGGTTGGTCTTCCATGGCTGTAGACTGTTGGCATCACTGCTATCAGGCACAGGTGTTGCAGAGAGATAACACCTCATCGTACAAGGCTGGCATCGGTGGCAGGGATGTAGTTGAATTTGAGTGACCTTAATGGGCCAGTAAACTGAAAAAAGTAATTGCAAGTTTGTAACGAATATCAATTTCCTAGATACATTTAGTCCATTTCTGAGAAAGAACAATTCATAATATATATAAAGAGTATTCAAATGTCCAAGTGAAAGTGTTAAAATCTCATACTCTGTAATCAGCTTCCAAAACAAAGATATTTGGAGTCGTGGTCTAAAGGTACTTTTAACTTGCCATCACTGCAGCTGGACACAGTGGGGAAGTAGGTGCCACCTTAATGAAAATCGAGGTGCTTTTCTCTGTTTGGTCTGTTTTGGAGAACTTGAGGCGTGCCTAAAGTCTGCTTTTTATCCGAAAGTCGTTGATTAAAATAGCTGTATCCAAGGTATCTATGATGAAATGTGCCACCACAGAAGAAACCAAAATATGCTAAACTACAGGCTGCTGTGGAAAGCTTAACCTTGTAGATTTTTGGATCAGAGCATAGTATTGCCACAATTTGTCAAACATTCATTTACTCGATGAGGCATACTGGGCATCCTGAGTCTCCCAATACCGATTTGAGATAGTTTGTCCAACTCCTCTTGCAGCGCCAAGTTCAGCCAAGGTGGTGGATGGCCCTTGACATTGACACACACGTCTCATATCCTAGATGTGTTCTGTAGGAAACAGGTCAGGTTTCCTTGCTGGACACAGCAATCTGTGGATGTTGTGCTGCTGTTGGTGAACAGTCACGATTCGTGTAATGTGAGCAAGGGTGTTGTCATCCTGAATGGGACCAAAAAGTGTGTCAGAATGTTGTCCCAATAGTACTGACCCTTCCTTTCACATTATGGAGTGAGGTTCGCCCAGTCATAGTGATGCTTCCCCACAATATAACCACTCGGGTTGACATTAGCTTGATGTTCATTTCAACATTTTGGGTTTGTTGATATCTGTTCCATAAGTCTGCTAATCACTGACGGTGAAACATCGATCGTATTGGCCACTGCACCCTGACTTCTGCCAGTTCCAGAATGCCAATATCAATAAGATTGACAGAAATAATAGTCCCCAGTCCTTCCTTGAAAGTGTCAAAATCAGGAATGACACCCTATGTACATGTGTGGCGCTAATGCGTGAAGCAGGTGCAAACTCTCGGATATGTTTTGGTCTTAAGTTTCGCTGACATTAACACTTGTCATCAACACTTGTCAATCTAATACTTGGTATTAACATGTTTTTGAAGAGTATATATGAAATATCTGAATTGTTTTGCCTAACATTTGTAACATCAGGCAAGGATGTACATCAGGTCCCGGAGGGAGAACCTTCCGAGCTCACAACCATGGAACTTGGAACAATAGACAAAGAGACAATACCACAGTTCCAGTCGGCTACTCACCTGCACCCGCTAGGAGGCGAAGGGCAGGGTGTCAGTCTAGCTCTATCCCACCTATTTCCCTACACAGTATATCGCTGTAATAAGCTTTACCACTGTTGATATATCAATGTCAACAGTATCATATGTAAACTGCTATGATTGTGTCAACTTAATTACCCCATGTTCCTTGAAAAAAATAACAAATGTTTCAGGAAGTCATTCTTGTGAAAACATATTACTAGTTTTATTTTTCTAATATTGTTGTTTTCTTCATTTATATTACATTATTATTTAAACTGAAATGTACCATATTCTCATTCCTGATACTGAAGTACCACATGCAAATTACGATTTGTTTTTTCTTCTGGGTTATATGTGTGCACTTTATGACAGTATAGGTACTTGCATTAATAGGTAGGTATGCTACAAAATTTCTGTACACTATGTTGATCCTCTGGATCAAAGTTATCTTGCATCCTTTGTTCCCAAGGAAGTGAGTGTTCATCTGGTTGTTTACACAAAGGGGAGCAACTCACACTGTAGACAAATTTTTATTTTAGATATTGAGTTGTCTCCCTTACACAATCAACTGACTGTATTTCAGCAACTGGGCCTGTGTCGGTTAGCTCTGCCTTAACTTATGAGTAGCGGCCATTTGAACCCCAGACCTTCTGATCTGATCCTTGTCCACATGACCAAAGAAATTAACCCTGTCAGCAAGCTAGGTAAAATGTCATCTGTGGGTCATGACTCCACGTCCTGCTACATGTGCATCTCTATTACATTAGAGGGAACCAGGCCTGGGTCCCCATGCAACCTCAGGCCATGAAGAAACCAGGAGGATGCCTAGCCTCTTGTTTTCAACTGGAGTAGTATAGGTAATGGGGATTCTGGACCACTACCACTGGAGCCAGATTTATATACCTATACTGCTACTACAGAGGGAATTTTTTATGTGAAAAAGATCATGTGATTCAATGATCGTCATGAGACTAAACTAAATTGTAATGAAAAGGGCTTTAGCTCACCACCACTTGGAGCCATTTTCCAACCTATCAAAGCTTCTATGATACAAGAAAGAAGTGAGCAAAGCTCACATACCCCCATTATCCCTGCTGGTCAACAACAAATAGTAAATAGTTTGTTAATTAATGAAATATTACATATTTCTAACTGATTTTAACTTCAATGTTTTAAAAACTAAGATTGAGTTCTAGTGACAATTGACCTCCCCTCCCCCAAAATCTCCCACGTTACCAGTGTTCACTACGAGGAAGTAGATCACCATGAACACCTTTGAATAAAAATTTGATTGAGGAGTTACATAAGAAGAATTATCAAAAGGACCAAAAATTGTTGATATAAAAACATATAAAAAAAATGGAACAATATCATATAAGAAAATCAATAAATTAATAATTTCTATCCAGCCTTAACAGATATGGTAAAGAATTCATAAATTCAAACTAACACAAAGCACAGATACTTATGATGATCTACATGTGTGGAAACAATTTTGGAAAATATATTAGCTATACAAAACCAGTCATCAAAATTTCTAAATTCCATCATGTTTCCGATATGCGTCCCTCTTACTGACAGAGTTCAGTTTCCTAAAGTCAACACAAAATCTACAGGAACCATCTTTCTTGGTCACTAAACAAACTGGCGCTGACCATGGACTGTCACTAGCCTCTATGACACCATGAGCTATCATCTTATCAACTTCTTCTTCAATCACTTGTTTCCTACTTAAAGGTACCCTTCTAGCTGGAAGTTTGATGGGGATCGCCCCAGATGTATCTATTGTGTGGGTAACCACATTTGCTTGTCCTAAAGATCCATCTTCTCCTACAAAAACATCAACATCAACAAAAACATACTCTAACACTGAGTCAATGCTAGTTTCTGCTCAGCGGTAAGCTCATTTGAACTACTGTCTATCAAAGGCTGCAAATGAGGAGGTAACTCCTTTTTGACAGATTTCTGCTGATGATCACCACAACACTCAACTACCTGACTGACAGTACTAACAGTAACTATTAGTGATGAACTGTTCAAAGAAACTCCCTTATTACTAAGGTTTAAGACTAACACTATGACCTTCTCATCTTTAGGCTTGACTAAACTTTTAGCTACGAAAATGCCTCTACTGCGTAACTGGTCATTTAGCTCAATCAAACCATACTCTGAAGAAAAGGGACCCATTAGCCTACATTCAATGAACTTTTCTGAACCTTCAGGTACAGCGACCTTGTCAGCGATTTGTATGCGAGAATAGTTGTAAGTTTTCTGCTTCAATTTGGCTTGTGAAGTTTTAAGAATCTTACGCCTAATCATAATGTCACAATCATAGGTCTCCAGGAAATCCAAGTCAATAATACTACTCAAATGTCCTAGGTTTGCAACAACAAACTCTTGCACAAACTGTGCACTACCAACAGGAAAACTCAAATGTTGCACAACCATACACATTCACTGGACTACCAGTAGCTGTGAAAAATTCCTTATCAACCTTACTGAATGTAACACCTTCTAGGCCTAATCTCAGAAAATCTTGGTATGACAACAATGAAACAGGAGAACCTGTATCTACCAATAGTTTACAAGGTACCTGCCTCAATTCAACATCTAGAAAAAGACAAGATTTCCCATTGGTATCAGCGTGTAACACTACCTGTTCTCGTACATCAGAACTACTAATGTCATGTTGTGAGGATAACACTGTCATACTTCCTTCAGTAGGCCTAACATTTTGTTCTAACCCGGCTGAAATCTCGGCCCCGATCCCAGCCTGACTCAGTTTCCCATGTTAGTCTTAGTCCCTACAGATCCTTTAGATCCCGTGGATACAGAAGATCCAGGTAAACCCAACGAAGCCTAATAAGGACATTTGTCCCTTGGATGTCCAGGTTCTTG